TCATTTGATGACGTAGTGAAAGTAGAATTTTTTGAAATTATTTTTAGGTTGACTAATAAAAGGAAACCATCTCGTCTCCAAAATTATTTATCGCATAGATTACAGAATTAGTTGGTAGATAAATTGACAATAAATTTATAATTGGGTTACCCTAACAGAAATAACATCGATTTATATATTTGCGACATTTTTTGACGGTACGTTTATTCTAGTGTGTGGATAAAATAACATTTGTAAACTACCGCCTTGTCGTGAAGCAACAATTTGCAAATAATTACTAACCCAACTGTTATCCTCATAGGGTACGTAAACTAAGTTAAGCTGAGTGCATATAATAATAATAACAATAGTAATAATAATGATAATAAATGATCTATAAAAGGCAGGATGAGTGTGTGTGTGTGTAACGAATGCACGGCCGCAATTTTCGACGGATTTGCACCAAAATTTGCATGCACATGCTCCAAGCTAGTGGAAAGGCCAAGACTGACTTTGCATTTCCCAACTCCCATCGATAGTAGAAATAATCGATTTTTTCATGCTTCTACAGCAGTTTTCATGTAGTTTTAGGCCATTTTCTACTGGCCAGAGTGAGAGCCTATAGCTGGCTACCACGAATAGGCAGGAAAATTCTATTGGCCAGCGTGAGAGCCAACAGCTGACTGACACGAATGTTAACTAGCATGCTAGCATGCAAAAAAAAAAATCGATAGCTGCATTCGTCACAAGTGGGAAAAATTTAAATCTGCATGGCACTTTACTCCAATTGGCTCATTCGCTTGCTTAAACTCAACGTTGATTCTGATTCCGCAGAACTGGGTTGGGTGTGAAAAAATATTTGCTGTTAACATTCTTTTTTCATTCGGTTTTTCCAGTTACGAGTCCTTTTTTTAAAGCTGGTCGTTTTGTGGTCATTTTGTTTAGTTCTTTTTTCGTAACAGATTTAATGTTTAGTATAGAGCTTAGAAAAAATTCGCAGTGTGAGATAGGCAAGAAGTAAGGCATGTAGCAACATCAGCACGGCAAAGGGCACTCCTTTAAAGGCATGGAAGGGCAAAAATATTTTAAGTCAAGTGATAGCGATTGCTGTATGAGTTGTACGATTTTTGAATCAAGCACGGGCAACGCCGGACCATGCTGCTAGTAAAATAATACATTTGATGATGAACTGTTTTACTCCGTCATACAGTGTAAAATATATATGCGTGTTTATACGTGTATATTTCTATATGCGTACCTCTGATGTTTGTGGTAGTCTGGATTGTGTGGTTCAATGGCTCTGAGAACGATGACGTCTGGAGTACTAAACGCCTGGAAGAGCCACCCTTGGCGGCAAGATCGAAGACGAGTACCCTGACTAAGCACAACCAACCCCAACGGTGGAACAAGCGGGTGACGATTACAACAGATCTCAACGGTTGAACTACGCATGACGGACATGCTATAGAAGGCGCCACTCGAAATTATAACAGAGTCAGCGGAAGCCGTTGCAGTTACAAAGCCAAATGGCGATAAGGATTGGATGACAGGAGGAGGTTTTGGTGAAACTGGAAGGTTCTCGTCCTGAACCTGCACGTTGGCTGTAAATTTAGTCATCAACGCCATCATTATAAAGGAAGCGATGGATATGAGTTAAAGTCAGTCAGTCATGTGTCATGCATGATACACGTTTATGTATCTTTTCTCGCATCCGTTCAGTATAATGTTCTGGGGATGCTTTTCTTTTCATGGAACTGGTTTCTTGAAACCTATTGAAAAACCCTCAGGAGCGAGCAATACAAGAGAATTTTAGAGTCTTGTCCGCTCCCTTCTGCTGAAAGGGTGTAAATCGACCCCACCAAGCTCATTTTTATCCAGGTTAATGCTCCCTGTCACAGATCAAAATTGATGAAGGAATACTTTGATGAGAAGCAGGTGAGTGTTATGACATGGCCGCCCCAATCTCCTGACCTCAGCCCCATAGAAAACTTATGGAGCATTATAAAGTACAGGCTCTCGAGAAAGCAGTTGAGGATTTGATTGGGAATTTCATATCCGAATGGAATTCAATGCTTGGAGATTAAATTTGCCAGAACCTAATCAATTCAATGCCCAAATGGGTTGAAAATGTTATTCAAAATATAGGAGGACCCATAGATTATTAAATATTTCGAACTATATTACCTATTATAAATAAATTATACCTCTATTATTCTTTATTTAAAGCTGTTAAGTTATGTTTCTATTGATTTCCGCTCTGACTGCTATTTACCCATATCTGTGGGAGAAGAAGAGGATTCATACGTTTCCCAAGGCTATTAGCACGTAAGTGAATGTAAGGGTTCTAACTGGAATTCGAACTCGGCTCTTCGATTTCCCAATCCGAGCCGCTATCCATTACTCCACCGAGCCTCCATGAATTAATCCAACGACAAATAGCATAGGCAGTTTAATGGGAGTAATGTGATGATAGCGTAATGAACAACAGAATACGACGAGTCGAGTTCAATTTTTCGCCTAGTTTACATCGCTTTTTCATAAATGCTTTTCAAAACCATCTATTACCTCGAGAGCAACGTGTTAAATAACAGCTGACTGGATTCTCTAGTTTTGGTAGGCAACCAGACAAAGAGAAGGACACGTCCAAATTCAAAATCGATTGGGCGTGTTGCTCACAACGCCACCCCGTAGAAACAGCAACCCCTATCGTGCTGGAATTGTGTGTCAAAGAAGGATCGACGTTCATAAGTTCATTATATGTCATGGGACAGTAAGGTCACTTGGCGGCGTCTATCTCCTCTTCCTAGTTGTATTAGGTGAAATGGTTTGGTTGTTCTCATAATTCAAAGCGAGTTCCAGTACAATGCTTTAATTATGTTCTGAACATCTCAAAGAATGAGACAGGTTCTTTGGTGGGGTCCATCTTCGAGCGAATGCAACTTGCAAGTCTTAGAAGGAACCATTTCCCTTCGAACTTTGAATCAATAAAGATTGATTGATTTGTTTAACAGCATATCAACTCCTTTAAGCCTAAATTTAATTTTCTTGGGAGCTTTGAAGTAATAAAAATATGATAGGTTATTCTGCTTTCACAGTTGAATACATGGTAGATGATACTTAGCTTTTATGCATATACAGGTTTCTGCTGACATAATTACTAGAGGTGGTGATATATCAGTTTTATGCTTTTAGTTTTAGTTATATTTTGGAACTTAGTTTGATTTCTTGAAAATTGAATCAAGAATTTATAGGATATTATATCGATTAATGTCATGAAAGTGTTCTTTTAGGTCGGTTGTTTGATCGATTTTTGATCAGCGGCAGATGAACACCTCTAAGGATCACTTAATGCCGAAATCGAAATATTTTGTACACAATTTTATGGCGTCAATTAAATATATTTTGAACGCAACTGGAAGCCTTCAACTATAGATAAAATATATTGTTGGTAATTTTACTATAAATAGGTATTGTTGACAATTTTTATATAAAATGTATTGCTGGTATTTTTATTGTAAAAATATATTTTTATACTTCCAATTGTAACCGAGGAAGGGTTATTGAATGAGGAATAACCAAAATGAAGGTTGAAAATGAAATGGTAATCTTTATAACATTAACAACATACAATACTCGCCAGCGGCGTGGAGTAGGTAAACCACTGCTAGTAGTGGACTACTTAGACACCATATTACCTCCACTTACAATAGTGTCCAACGTATTTATGAGGATTGGGACATACATATTAGTGTCCATAGGTATGCTAGTATATAACAATACTACTATGGGACTATTATTCTTATTATCTGTTGAACTGTTTGGAAGTTATTGATAATTGCAAAAAGTCACAAATCATCATGGCCTTCAAGAAATTAATCACACCAGATTATGTGCTCTCATCCAGAAACTCATATGTTCTCTGTGGATTGAGTAATAGGGTTTGGCTAGCTGAGATTAGATAGGGTTGTAGCCTAGGAGTGGTTACTGAATGAGGAATAACCAAAAACGGGGGTTGGAAAAGAAATGGTAATCTTTATAACATCAACAAAATACAATACTCGCCAGCGGCGTGAAGTAGGTAAACCACTGCTAGTGGTGGACTACTTATACAACATATTAGACCCCCCCCCACACACACACGCACAGACTTACAATAGTGTCCAACGTATTTATGAGGACTGGGGCATATCCATTATTGTTCATAGGTACGGAAGATAACACTTTCCTAGTGTTTTGTTTCAGCTTGTGAGCTCACTATTTGCCCAAAGCTAGGACGCTAACAGTTGCTACCACCGCGGACCAGGGTGGAGCTGGGAACAATAGCCATTAAGAGGTGTTTACAAGTTCCTCAAAATCTCCAGTCTCCTGATCAGAGTCCTTGCTGCCAGATGTAGTTTATCGTCATACTCAAGACTAACAATCAAAAGTACCGAATAATAGAAACCCGGCCACCTGAAGATTTTCCAGAATGACAACTGAAATGGATAGCACATGAAGAATTAATTTTAATTTGATTTGTTTTTTACGGCTTACCAACCCTTTGCATGTTACAAAGAAAAATGGCCTAATAAAGATTTTGACATTCCAGACTACTTCAAACAAAAGGCTAAGAAGCAAGCTCCATTTAATACTTGAAAGATAAACATTAGAAATCTTACTTATTATAAAACGCAGATTGTGTGTGTGTGTGCGTCTGTACGTTTATATATTGGATCGGATTTCCTACATTTTTCAACCGATTTCAACAAAACTTCACAGGACTGCGTAAAATTACCTTGCGGTGGTTCTGACAGCGCCCAAAATTTGAAAAACACAATTGTTTTTGCACGAAATCAATTAGAAAACACGATTCTGTCGCCAGAATGAAAGGGGGACAACTTATATCGAGTTATACTTATGAAACCCAGGTTGTTTGTTTGTGTGTGTGTGTGTGTGTGTGTGTGTGTGTGTGTGTGTGTGTGTGTGTGTTCGTTTATATATGGGATCGGATTTCCTACATTTTTCAACTGATTTCAACCTAA